AAGATGAGGCCACTCTCTTCTCCGTGGTGCCCAGCGACAGGACAAGAGGCAACGGGCACAAACTGAAACACAGGCAGTTCCATCTGAACCTGAGGAAAAACTTCTTTCCTGTGAGGGTGACGGAGCACTGGCACAGGTTGCCCAGAGAGGTAGTGGAGTCTCCTTCGCTGGAGATATTCAAAACCTGTCTGGATGCGATCCTGTGCAATGTGCTCTAGAGGACCCTGCTTGAGCAGGGAGGTTGGACTAGATGATCTCCAGAGGTCCCTTCCAACCTTGACCATTCTGTGATTCAGTTCTGAGCTGTGCTGACTGGGAAACTAGAGGCCACCAAAACAGCTTTGGCTTTTTGGAGCATGCTCTGATACTTTGTCTTCAGTAGAGATTGTGTGTTGTACACAGTGCCTGTGAGAGAACCTGCTGAGGACATCTAACATGTTGCTCTGCTGTTCCAATCACCTCTAGGACTTCCAGCTGGAGGCTACAGAAGTGTACAGCAAAGTGGCCAAGCAGCTGGTGAAGCAGCAGAAGTACAGTGAGATCCGGCAGCTCCTCAAGTGTGTCAGTGAGTCTGGAGTTGCAGCCAAAAATGATGGAGATAACATCATCATAAGCTGCCTGAACGAATTCAAGAACATACCTGCTGAGGTAATGCTCTCCTGTGTTGTCTCCCTTTTGAAAATGGGTATATACAGTACAGGCTACAGAGAAACTGTCCAGTGGTGCCTGTGTTGCTCTTCTAGCATCTCCTTTAAATCCCCTGGTCCCGTACTTCATGCATTATTTAAAGATAGGAGAATGTGTTTTCTCTTAAGTTAGTTACTCTGAGAGACTGTTACATGCTTCTACTCGGTGCTTGCCAAACGAGCACCCACAACGGGGAGAGAACCTTTGCCCAACAGAATTGTGCCAGATGCTCTTGATGGGGGGTGGGAGGCATTCCCTTCCATAAAGCTTCCCTGGCTGAAAGAGAGCACGCGCAGAGACAGAAACTTCCTGTCTTCATAGGAAACAATTGTAAGATTCCCTATGCCTGCCACAATGTCTTTTCCATCCCAGTGAGAGAATGGAAGGTCCTCTATGAAGTTTTACTAATCAGGCAAAGGGATGAGAGACTGACCTGACTGTTCTCTAGAGACATCTCACAGACATGGCAGGCAGGGGAAGCTGTGGTAAAGGGAAGAACTGGACTTTTATTTTTTACATCTGCAGCACTAGCAGTTGGGATGGTGTAAACGTCTGGCTGTGATCTCAGCAGTCCATGCTCTGTGGAGAGGTTTGGTCTTTGGAGAGGGAATGATTTGCAAACTATAGTCATCTAAACATGAACACCTTTTCCCTTTTTTGGATGCAGGATCTCGATAATCTGATTCAGGATATGGACAGTGATGAAAACAAGGTAAGTAAAAGCACAGTAGGAAACCCTTTAGTAGGAGCTGAGGAGCCCAGTTTTAGTCTGCAGGCTGTGTGTTCTCTTCCACCATCTCCCATCCTGACTTGAGCAGAAGTTTTGAAGGCCGCTTCCCAGATTATAGAGATCACAGTGAATTGCTCAAGGCTGTGGCATTTGTCACGGTAGAGCTGTGACATGAAGGTATTGCTTGATGTTATCCTTACTAGTTCCTTGGCTTTCCTTGGAGTGAGAGAACTAGGCATTTGTTAACAGTGGAAGAAAATATATTTCAGAGTGGCTCATGGTGGGTTGCTTGTTCACGTTACCTTGTCTTTCACATATGCATATGTAAGCTTCCTGTGGTGGCAGGCAGCTGATAAGGAACAACATACCTCCAATATGAGCATTTCAGCTTACTCTTCTTTCAGGATTATACTATTTCTCTTCTTATAGGGAGTTAAATAATAAAACTTAATAATAAAACCAATTTTGATACACTTTCTTTCTGAGAGGAAGTGAGGCCTAAACTACTTGCTTTCAATGACTCTTGTTAGCTTTAGTATCAGCCTGTCAAATCACTGTAGAGTCACAGATAAGTATGTGGACCCCAGACGCGTGTTTATAGATGAAGAGGCTGTAGCTTAGTTTGTGGATTGTCATAGATCATGTGAGAAATCAGTGGCATAGCTGGGAACTCTCCTCTGTCCTTCTCCAACTAACAGTCAGTGTTTTATGCGGATTGAAAAATGGACTGTTCATTCTGCCATGGTATAGGGTTTATGGCTGAAAGATGAGACCGCTTCAAGAACTAAGCAACAGAAGAAAATGACTGCTTTAGAACCTTTGATATGAGGGTACGAAAATTAGTGCACAAAATAGGATTCCTGATGTTGATTTCATGGTGATATTGTAAAGGACTTTCTAGGAGAGACAGAGACGTAAAATATACCAGTCTGTTCATCTCTTACAGTGGAATCTGCTCCATGGCATACTCTGCTTCATAATATGCTGCTAGTGCCTTGTACAACAGGCTTCTGCACTACATTTTTTCCAGTGAACCTGTGCCTAAGCTTGTTTTTAAGTTAGTTTACTGCAGCCTTCTAATAAAGTTCTGACTGCCTTTTCTGTTTCAGATCCAAGCCTACCTGATGTGCAACAAATTGCGTTCTGCCTACCTAGTCTCGGTGAGACAGGAGAACACCAGAGCAGTGCAGCTAGTCCAACATGTGCAACAGCTGGCTGAGGACAGTGGCGATGATGTAGTGCAGGCCATCTGTGCCCAATGGCTCTCAGTGCACCAGCCCAACATGAGAAATCGGCTTTCCCAGGGCAGGAGTAAGTAACTGGCGTTCACTACTATCCAAGAAGGGATGACTTCAGGACAGCTCAAAGGTGTGTGGTTCAGCGATTGCTTGGTAGAAGGGAAGTCTCTTGACTGGTGTTGGTGGCAAACGTAAGCTGCTAACGTCTGGTTAAAAGGAAGGGAACTAATTTACAAGTGCCAGTCCTACATTTTGACAAACAATGGTTGCTACCTCAGGGTGTTTTTTGGCCTTTTTTTGTGTGTGTGTGAAATTTTCAAACTGAACAAGCAAGACGACTTTTTAAGTTTATGGAAGAGGCACTCATGTATTTTAGAAAGACACTGATCTTTTTGGCATGGTTCTTATTTTTAACCCAGAAAATCTGCATAGAGAGGATGGTAAAATCTCATCAGCTTGATGTAGCTTAGAGTATAAAACTTTGTGATTATGAGTTTCCCTGTAAAATTTCTGAAGACTGGAAGATCTTCTTTTACAGCAACTGAACTAAAAAGACTGCTTTTTTTTTTTTTTTTTTAAGTCTTTATACAAACTACTGCTATCCCCCCCCTTCCTTTCCCTGTTAGTGCAGTGTACTCAATTTTTTAGTTTGCTCAGAAAAGGTAGAAACTGGTTCTTCTAGGCAGGTTTCTACTTACCAGTTGCACTGTCTGACATATGCATGGCACTTGAGCCCTTACTGGATGGATGAAGTTAAAAGGGGGATCTCCAGGAAAGGGGAGTACAAAGGGAAAAAAAATATTTTAAAATGGTTAAAAATGGCCTACCTCTTTCTTCTCTACACTATCAAATAAATTGTAGTGATGCAGGCTTATCACTAAACTGTTGCCAATACACTTCCACGATTTCACATCAGATAGAGCAGGAGACATGGAAAGATAGAGCTATATTAAAATTCAACAGGCAGTTTGTATTCCTGTCATGAAGGGATTGGTGGGGGGTTTTTTGCATGTGGCTTGCTTTATCCTGGTAAGGAAGAAAAAAAAAAAATTTTTCCCTATCAGGCACAACAGAGCACCAGACAATTTTTGTTAATTGGACATAAACTGTACAAATCAATACATCGCCTGAGTTTGCTCTGGAGTGCATTAGGACAGGTGGAAAGGAAGTACTCTATAGCTCAAGGAGTGAACAGTAGCTTTTGCACTGGTTTTTCTTTGGGGGGGGCGGGGTGCTGCTGCTGTTTTGTTGGGGGGGTGTTTTGGTGGGCGAGGTTTTTTTTTGGTTTGTTTTTTTGTTTTGGAAAAAGGTGGGAGACAATCCATAAGAGTATGTGTTTGCAGTTTACATGTACTTCAATACAAGAGGGTGGGGGAAAAAATAGTACAGTGTTTGTAATTGTTAAACTGTTTAGTTGTTTACTTTCTGCAAAAGAAGAAAAAAACAGACTAATTTAGGTTTCTGAAGAGTAATATAACTGTAAATAGTTTTAATACATAAAGAAATTGAGACTGTCAAATAAGGGTCTTGCACTATCCCCAAACTCACTGTAGCGACAGAACAGACTTCCATGGAGATGAGAAAGATTTGGTTCATTTCCTTTGAACAGTGTCCTTTCATGAACAGTGTCCCATGACATGCACATCTATTTTTTTGAGGCGCTTCACTCACTAGCATGGGGCTAGACGCGTCTCTGAGCTAAACAGTCGGAAAGGACTACATTTACATTTCAGAATTTGCCAACCCTAGATTTGCACGATCTCATTAGTGAGCAGTGCTAATGAAAGCTGCTTTTGTTTTCTTGACGAGACTGACCTAGCTTTCCATCAGATTACAGCTGTTAGGCTAATCCTAAAATGTGACAGTATCCATGTCTTCAATCACTTCCAAATCTCTAATAAAAAGTGGGGTGGTTTCTACTGTTGTGGGCATCTAGATATGCATTGCACCAATATCTACATTTCTGCTCTAGTCCCTCAGTAACTGTATATAGCATGAAGAGAAGAGAGAGAGTGTGGAGCTTGCCATGCAGACCAGTCAGTTCTTTGCCTGCCTTTCTCCTTGACCTTTTTGCACTGTACTTGATGCACTTTATACAGTGTTTGTTTGATAGTTCTTAACCTGGACTCGTAGAGACCTTTCTCTTACCAGCAGAACTGGAATTCTGATCCTGACTAACTGCCTTGTGTCATGATAGTGCAATTATCAATGGGTGTAGGAATGTTCAGCATCAAAAATGGATTCAATACTGCCAGTTAAATTTCTGTATTAATGACCAAGGTTTGTTTACAATGCAAACAAAAAAAAATAAAGTGTTATCACTGAAGGTCTCTTAACATATCTTCTGTTTTGTTTTGTTTTTTTTAACTTCAACATAGCTGGGGAATCTCTTTCTAGAGTTGTCTTGCTTTTTTGGCTATTCTTAGCAGAGGGAAGGTTGCGGGGGGGGAAAATCTCCTCTAGTGCAAAAATCTCTTTGCTATAGCATCTTCAATATTTAAAGCTATTGGAATATCACATTTTAGTCCTCCTGGAAGCCAGCTCAGTCGTGTTAACTATTTTATTTCATCCCATTGCTTTATACATGCACTCTCACAGACCACTAATCTTTTTCAGAGTGCTTTTCAAGTTAATCTAACTCTGTTACAGCCTCCCTTTGAGGCAGCTTAATGAGCTTAAGTTGCCTCATTTTACAGATCAACTTTAGAAGAAGGGATAAATAACTTGCCCAAGGTCAAAAAGGGACTCTGCGTGCGTGCCTGTGTGTGTGTGTCTATGGGAATACATTGTTACATGCCCTGTTAGATCTGCAGTCCTGCTTCTTCAAGAAAAGTGTTGACCTTCAATGGGAAAGTATTTGGGCCAGAGACACTCTCATCCCTTTTTTTGGTGGTTTCTATTGCTCTTGAAAAGCCTTTTCAAGATCAGAGTTACACAGAGACAGAAAGCCAAGCCTGCAGTACAGGTACCTGGTAGCATTCTTAGTTGTGGATTCACATTCAAGGTGAAGCATAACAAGGGAGGAAACAAGACAGTGTGACAGAGAAACACAGAGACTTAATGTAACACAAACTGAGTTCTTTACACTGGTAAGGCAGGTGCAGATAGCAGCAGCACCAACTAAACTGCTTCAACATTTCTGAAGGAAGGTATGTTACTCTGCTGTAAAAAGAAAATGGCTTTATTTAGTGTTGCTCGGAAGTAGCTCAGGACTGAGCTGCATGGATAACCTCCAAGCAGAATTAACCATAAAACTTGCATTTGCTTTCTAAAACTGGTAGTTTGTCACAGTGGAATGCTCATGTGTAGGTTGAAAACCATTTGTTTGGTTTTTTTTTTCTTTTCAGAAGCGGAAGATAATCCTATGAGCTGTAGCACTTGTTTTCTAGCTGCTTAGGTCTTTCAGAAAGATCTCAGATTACTGGTCTCACTGTAGCAATTTGAACCAAAGTAAGTAGCACATGAGCACAGTTCCAAGGGAGCAACCCCATCAGTATGTGGATTGACCAAGCTGCCCTTTGAACACACAGGCTGTCTGGTACTGCAAGGCCAGGATGGCAGCTTCCGCTAGCCTAGTCCAGTAACCACTGGGCAGACAAATGTGAAGACTTCCATGTAAGTCTTATTTTCCTGTCCGTTAGCAAAAATGACTATAACACCAAGACGGTGCTGATCCCTACTTGAACTGTTTTGCTTCTGCTAGTTTCCCGTCTAAATGCCAGCTGCTTTAAGTTGGAAGGCTCAGCTGAAGATTTTTGTTCTTTCAATATAGTTGAAAAGTTCTTTACTCATTCTGCTCTCTTGTAGTTCTGAGTTCTGAAGTCATTTAAAGCGCAGCTGGTGGTTTTATTTGGACAACTTTTACACTGTCTTTGCTTAATGCTTCACAGCAGCAATGTCAATATTTTAAGATAAAATAACTTGCTGATAAGGTTGCAGCATTTAACCTCCCAGTCAACTGCATTGAGACCTGGGTCCTCAAAAATATACAGACACTTAGTTTACTTACTCTAATCAATGGTTATTTGGGGACAAGGTGCTTCAGTAGCTATGGCCCAACTTCTTACAGAGCATATATGGAACAATACTTAATTCCAGCTGAAAACTTTAATGCTTGGCACAAAAAGGCCAACACCTGTTTCTGTGTGCTAGAGAGTATTTGTATTACATGTAATTGCCATAAACCTTAATACTCTAAAAAGTACTCCTCCTACTCTGCCAGGTCAAATACTAGAAACTGAAAATAACCTTAGAGCATAAATTTAGGATTTATTACTACTGCAATAGGGGGGGAAAAAAATCAATAAAGGGAGGTCTTCATTGCTTCATAATCTAGACAGAAGACTGCAAGCCCCTCACTTCTATTCTAGAGCCAGAGCACAGTTAGCACCTGGCTGTGGAATATCAAGTAAATATCAGTTAATAGCTGCATTTGTGCTCTAAGTCTCCAGCTAGGAAAGGGGACTGGCTGCTTACTAATCTCACTCCTTATAATATTCCAGAAATTCATATTAGATTGTGTCCACTGAACCATCATGAGGGCATCTGGAAGTGCCAAAGCTCTTGTCTTGAGGTCTCTCAGCAGTGCTCTTCCCAGGAAAGGCATCACCACAGTCAGCCGCTTGCATGCTTGAGGTCTGTACTGTTCAGTCCCACTGGATGCCTAGGAGCTCACAGCTCACACTCCAGAGCTTCTTTGCTGTGTCATCATCCCGCCCTCGTGGAGATACATATGCTGGCTGGCAATCACTGTAAGGGGAACAATTTTTTTTTTTTTTTAAAGTAAGTCAAACATCTCTCTCTGCATTATAATACTGAAATGTATATGGTAAGAAGAGGGGCGGTGTTTTCTATCAGTTTAACATCAAGCCCAGTTGAAGGGTGGGAGGATAACTAGCAGATGAGCAAGGGCTGCTGCTAAGCCCCCTTGGGAAGGCTTCCTTTCTACCTGGCTAGGGAAGAGGAATCTTCCCCCATGGCACCAAGAACTGGCTCTACATCTGTTTCTCTATCTGCTCTCTTGACTCTTAAAAGAAAACCTAGCCTGGATACGCTGAGCTATATACTCTTCAGTGTAAGCTTTCACTAATACTGCTGAAAAGAACTGTAAATGCTAGCCGAGCAGCTCTTCCAGCAAACGCTGCATAAAGCCACTCAAACAGCCCTTCATTCAAAGCTACTTATCCCATCTGATTCATCCTACTATACTACCAGTTCACCAAAGGCAGAGCTGCCCCAGGATGGTAAACTATAATAACCTTGTAGTGTTTTACATTATGCCTTTTTCCTTTATCATCTGTACTGTGGCTCTTCTTTCTCAGGTGCTGCAACCAAACAGCATGCTGTCTAGAATAGGGATCATGCATTCTTATCTTACTAGCTACATGCTGCAATGGATGTGGGGCTTAAGGGAGCAGAGGAAATCACATTCCCTGAGATTTCTAATCATTCTAGACGCTGCAGAAAAGCAGTTTTATACCCCATACTGCACAGACTATAGTGGACTTTGCCTGTCTTGCTGTAGCTCATAAGGGTTTTTTTTTTGTTTGTACTTATGCTTTATATTCTATTGCCTGGAAATTATTTTAGGCCAGTCCACTATAAAGTCAGGCACATTTGTGAATAACTGTTTCATCTCTTTGTTTCCCACTCAGTCCAAAACTGTTTCTTCTATTCTGAAGTTAAAATCTACCTAAGTTTTCTGTATTCTAGCACACAAATGCTCCATTTAGATCCTGGGAGAGACAATCACGCAGGGAAGATTAAAGCACCTATTTATATACTCGAGTCTGATTAAGATGGTACAACGCTCCAAGTGAAGATCAGAAAAACCATTACCAAGAATAATCTGGTTACTTATCATGAGAGGAAAGCTCTGCAGAGAAGTACAGGCTCCAACAGTATCCATGCTAAAACCAAAACACCACAGCCTCCCAGCTGCTGTATCTTTCACTCAGGCAAATCAAGTAATTTTGTTACATACCTAATTTTAGCCTAGTACTGGAAAAAAAATCTTACTTCCTACAGGAGCAGAAGCATGCGTTTTTGCTCCTCCCACTAATCTTGCCCCATTTGACCTGAAAGGAATTGAATCACGCCTCCCCCTTCCCTGTGAGTGCAGGCGCTTTCTGCTCCAGCAGGCTAAAACTACAAGGAGAAGCAAACTGGTCTTTCCCATGGTTGACTCCAGTGACCTCATTAACTAAACAGCTCTGCTGCAGTGATTTGCTAAAGTCTAAGGCAGATCAGGATTAGAACTCGGAGCATGTGACAGCCTCTCCTGCACTTCCAGTACAGTGATACTCTTAGCACTATGGGAACAGCTATTGCCTGAAGTGTTGCACAGGTCAGTTGTTCCTTGTAACACAATACTCCTTGGAAAAGACCTGGAAAGGGTGGGGCCCCTGTTTCTGTCACCTTCCACCTTATTCGGGTGAGCTATGGCAACATCTTACACAGTCCCTTCTGCAATAACAAATGACAATATTACTTACTCTTCCAGTCAAGCAAGGTTGCCTTCACATCATCTCCGTAACTTCACATCACATCAGCAGCTTTCACCCACCTGAAATACTGTCCTGTCACAGAGTCTAGCTCCTCTGCTACTGCACAGTACACGCTAGTCTGAGCTCCCTCCCAAGGCGTCTTCAAGAAAAATGAGAACATCTTCCACAACCATGTCATTACAAACGAGTGCCGGACCAGTTCAGAACGGACAGAGCCAGGGTGGAGAGAGTTTGCTGTAACTTTAGTACCTGTGGGGAAAACAAAGTGATCCAAGTGATCCAAATCTGCATGCATCAGACTTGCCTTAATGCAAAGGGGTACCATCCTCCTTGATTTGATCAGCAAATATTCAATAGATTAAAAGAAGAAGTCGAGGCATGGATACTAGGACAGCCAATGAAATGCCCACTGCTTGCTGGAGCTTCTCCCACTCCCTTCCAAGCACTGCAGTCACTACATGCCTTTGCAAAGCAACTTGCTCGAGGACCTGGATGCTAAAACAGCAGCAGTTTCCATCAAGCTTTTGAGAGGACCAGATCTTTTTGATTTACTGTAATACTGTGTTCCTAGAGAAAACACTGCTTCTGTTTTAGTAAAATAAATACTACTTAATTAAGTTTAAGGAAAGGACTGAATAATGTAGCTGTGACAGAGATGCTGTGACTTAAGAGGTGCTGTCTAGTCCTATGCTTCTGTTTTACTGGCCTTCAACATTTAAGACAGCTGAGACTGGTGTAGTTCTTTCACTGCAGACTGCAGTTGCCAGACATTACGTTCAGCTCTAAGTCCTTCTAGTTCCTACCCACGTAATACAATTGCTTGCTTGGATGCAGCTAGTTTTCGGTCAAGTCTCCTGGTTCCACAGACAGGAGATATTTTCTCCCTGCATCAACCAGCTATCAGTGACCCTTGCTCAAACCATTTTATTTCTGCATATCCAATTTTTAGACTTTTCTTCAATCTACCCGACTCACACATGGTGCTCAGAAACCAAGCAGACAAACACTCTGCTCTCTTTGAGACTTGCCTTGCAGCCGCCTCGCCAACTCCCGCGTGAAGAGCACATTAGCCAGTTTGCTGTGACAGTAGGCAAGGCCGCGATTGTAGCTCTTCTCACCATGGAGGTCATGGAAGCGGATTCGGCCTCCGTGATGAGCTAGTGAGGACACATTCACTATGCGGGCCGGGGCAGACTGCTTCAGACGCTCCAGCAATAGGAAGGTCAAGAGAAAGTGACCTTAAGGAAGAGAGGAAAAGTTAGAATATTTCATCCTTCTCTGAAGCCTTCCCCTGCTGGAATTTCAAAGTGCTTTCAACATATTACTTGCACGCTCTAGCCTACTGCTACCGTCATTTCAAGTCCAGGCGAAAGAAGGCGCACTGGATCAACAGCTAAACTTTCACGAGCCGTTAAGTTCTCCTCAGCTTCAAAAACCTGGAGCTGTCATATATTTTGTATGTATGTCCCAGGTGACATCTAGAGATTCTTAAACTAGGTCCATGATAAGCAAATACATTGCATTATTCCTTTCCATGACATTTGAGCCCAGAGGAAAACAGCTTCTATCTCCAGGGCTCTAGTACTGGTCTTCAGTTCTCTCCCAGAAAGGAAGGATAAGGAAGAGAAAATCCAGAAGCAGAATTTCCCTTTGGTATTTTGCCACAGACATTGAGTTAAAAACATGACGCCGCTAGTCTTACCGAGGTGATTGACTCCCAGGTGCATCTCAAAGCCATCAGCTGTCTTGGAGTAAGGGCATAACATTACCCCAGCATTGTTAATGAGGATATGGAGTTCCTTCTCCTCTGCAAGAAACAACAGACGTTATTAAATAGGGCAACAGGGACGAAAGACAGTCAGCCAAAAAACTCCATGCCCATCTGAGTTGCAGCCACATTTCCTCAACAAAATCAGAATAACTCTCCCTACCACAAACTAGGTCGTGGCCTCTGACAGGCCCCTGCTGTCAAACCATGGTTCCCAACATGGTTCGGGAGTACACAGGCCAGGAACTCAGCATCTGCTAGAATCCACTGGCATCGAAGTAGAACCCCATCCTCTTGTCCAGGCATGCTGATGGCTCTGGAGGGTGGAACTGGCTTCCAAGACAGAGTCTCATTTTTCTGCCCTTGCCCAGAAAGGAGTTTGTCACACAGAACAATTCCAGGTATAGCAAATGAGATCCGTATAATGAAGGGGAAGATATTGCCTAGTCACATCAGCAGTGTGCATCACTCACACAACACTCTCAGCTGCTGCCTTTAAAACCCCTATGATACGGACATGGTCACCCAGCAAGTTAACAGCAGGTACGGGAATAGAGCAGGGCAATAATGCTCCCAGGACACACCCAGCCACATCCCTTCCTTAGCACTGAAGGGCAGAGAGTGAGCGATCCTTGATAAATATTCCCATTGAAAAGAAGTATCTAGGGGCTGTACCTGCTAGAAAGTTCTCAGCAAACTCCCGGATGGACTTTGTATCAGCCAAGTCCAGTTTTTTCACAATGACCTGCTGGTTCCCCGTTTCAGCTCGGATTTCACTGGCTGCAGCGTCTCCCTTTGCTATGTCTCTGCAGGCAACAATCACCCTCGCACCTGCAAGGGGGAAATAAGCAGGAACCCAAGCTGAGAGCACTGGAAGTAGGCTGGAGGAGCAGGGCTATGACAAGCAAGCTGACTACCCACAGCACCTACAAACAACATATTGCTAGTTTAGGGAACTGGCATCAACCAGTACGTTGCTAGCTCTAGGGCAGCCCAGAGCTGTCCTCAGACCAGGACAAAGCACATCTGAAGCGTGCCTCTCCAGCTTTTCCCAGGTCAGGCATGTGTACCACTACACTGTTACTGTTGTCCCTATAATGGGAGCGTCCAGTCAGTAGCACAGGCAGATACTTGGACCTTTTCAGGTTACGTGGTAAAAAGCTCATCTCTACAAGCACAAAGGAGCGCAGAGAGACAACGGCAGCTAAAGGAACCTGAATAACACCCTGTCTGGCTCCTCCCAGGGCTGTCCCAGGAGAGCATCAGCCCCTGGTCCAGGTGTGAAACCCATCACAATGAGTCAACCAGAGGAGCTCTCAGGCTAAGAGGGGTTACTCCCTAGGGGTATGGGACACATTGTGGGATGCAGGAGAAGAGCATTTTGAGATGGCACAAGACTGTTTATGGGATGTTTAGGAGAGGAACCAAATGCAGAGAAAGGGAGGGATCTAGGTGATTTGGGGAGAAATAGCAGGGGAAAATAGAGGGATATGGGGATAGAAATGGGCCTAGTCTGTAGGCTTGCCTGGCTATGCCCTGCATCTGATCAGTGCACTTTGTCCCATCTGCTTATTAAATTCCTTTCTAACTATTTTCATGGGTGAGAAACTCTCTATTCTGTATGTATGTGCAAGTGTGGTGGTCTGAGTGCCACTAACTGGCACTCAGATGCACAGTCATAGGGACCCATGTGTCTGTGGTGTCAGCAAGTGGAGAGACTGGAATGAGTGAAACCAAGTACCAGTGGTTTCTGGTGGAAGACTGGAGTGGGACCAGGGACTGGACTGAGACCATGGGTCAGAGGGCCTATGTGTCTGGGGTGTCAGCAACTGGAACGAGTGAGGGAGGGTACACAAGCGAGCGTGTGATCACTTACAAATACCAAGCCGGACTAGCTGGTGAGTAGGTGAAGGGAGCTGGGTATGCGTGTGGGACTCTAAGAAGGGCAAGACCACAGGGACACCCGGCTACCAGAGTGACAAGGGGAGTCCCATCCAACTGCCAGAGAGCCTGTAGGATCTGGGGTTGATTGGGAGACGTGTGTGTGTTTTTGCATGCGCCTCTCTCTAAGGACAAGAACACAGGGGCACTCGGCTACTGTGGGAACCAAGGAGTCCCAGCCAACCACCAGAGGGACCATAGGGCCTGGAGGGGTTGATTGGGAGACATGTGTGTCTGTGTGCATCTAGGGGTGAGGCACCTGAAAGACAAAGGATGTAGGACCAACTACTTGATGGACTACATGTCCAAGGCCAGCTACTGAATGGATGTACAGTGTGTGTGTGTGCACATGCGCGAGTGAGGGGGTCTGTACCAGCAAGTGGAGCGGGGCTGCAGACTTCAGGGGCTCATATGTCCAGGTGCCAGCAAACTGGGGAGACCGGGGATCCAGGGGCCAGGGCTGAACTGAGTGCCTAAGCCCTGGTGCTGGAGGGATCCACACTGTATGTATGTATATATATCCCACTAACAGACCTTCCTCCTGATCAGCCAGAGACAGAAACAGGATGAGGCTGTTGGTGCCATATGTGTGAGTGCCGAGTGTGTTTGTCTGAGCTGATCTGTGTGGCCAGCCTTGTGTCTATATGTAGTATATGCGTGTTTGTGCAGGTGCCTACTGGGAATACATTCTCAGCCTGGCGACTGGCTGGACCTGTGGACATGGAGCTGCAACAACCTCGCCCCACTGGGCAACTGAGTTTGGCCCTCTTGCCTAACAGACCCCAGCCAGAATAGTTTCTAAACTGATTATGAACTGCTACGTTAATCTCCACACCAGTTAGCCAAAAAGCATTTAAACCAAATTAGCTTGAAACATGAATAACTAAAACAAACACCAGTGAACCTAAGCCATTTCCCAGCTTCTAACAAATGTGGTGGCCCAGTGATACCAGGAACTTCCCCAGTCCTCTCAAAAGGGTTGTAGTGCAGTGCTTTCTCATGTCACAAGATACACCTTGATACAATGAAAGCAGTTGAGGAACGGGGGACTTGTGACTCAGTGGTTACAGCCTCTGGAGAAACAACATTTGGGCTCCTCTGTAATATGCAAGTATGCTGTAGAGCATGACCAACTCCAAAGGCTGTTCGGGCCTCTGCACCAGAGTAATGTGCCATCAGGACACGTTCCCACCACCATTATATCTTGCAGCTGGGGTTTTCACCAAGAAAAAGGATAACTAGGTGCTATCTGTTAGACTCCCAACTCTATAGATGGGAGTGCAAGATAATCCTCCCTTAGATCCAGAAAAGGGACTACTGATACACATGCGCACACATATCAGTTTCAAAGGGATGCTTGCTGATGTAGGACAGTGACTTGCCTCTTCGTGCAAGATCTCTGGCTGTCTCCTTCCCAATGCCTGTGTTGGCTCCTGTGATTATCACCACCTTCCCATCTAGCTTAGCTGTTGACTTACACTGTCCTCCAGCAACATACCTCCTGGAAAAGAAGATAACAGGAACAAGAGGATAACAAGAAAAGGTCCAAGGACAGTTTTTCTGGTTATGAGGTACAGGCCAGGGCTGATCACTTACAGCTCTTGGTTGGCTGTGCCCCAGCAGCTGGGCCAGTTACTGCTCTCAGAATAACCTGTGATTCATGTGGAGAGTTACCTAAAGTGGTTCCACCTGCCAGTTCACTACACCCCTCCTTCCCTCCTCAAGCTTCCAGCAGCTGCCTCCTCTGATTAGGTGTCCCGATCAAGCCACCACGCCAGGTTCCTAGTCATCTTCAAACCCCTCTGCTTTGAGCGTAGCGCCAGTGCTCGAACACAGAGCCGACAAGCCCAGCTCACCCTCGGCGCAGCTGACGGCCAGTCGTGCGGAGAGGAAGGCTCGGCGAGGACAGAAGGGCGGGCACCATCACCGCCTGGCACAGAGGCGCCTCTCCCAGGCCCTCGCGGGTGAGGCTCGGGTTTCCACGCCGTGCTGCCGCACTGCCACCAAGAAACTCGCAGCCACGCCGCTAG